TCCCGCGGAAGATGGGGAAGTCCAATGTATACCTCAGGGGGATTTGATTTTGGGGAAAAACAGCCAATGAACTTAATTGTATGCTGTTGCCTGCTGTGTAATACTTTTATAGCCCATCAACTAGATGTCTTCAGGTCACCAGCAGCTAGCCCTGACTTCCCTCCAACCACCATCCCAACAGAGAATGAACTTTGACAGAACCAGACAAGTTCTGCAGTAAAGGAATGATCAGCATCAGCAGGCAACGATCCAATACTGCACACAGCCTTTCCTGCCCTGAAAGAATATTACAAGAGGTGGAACCTGACATCATGGACCGAATGGACTCGGCAGCATTATAGGGATTGGTCCATGCACTAAGAAAATGATCACTTTCTCTCGGTCTGTGCGTGTATGTGGACGTATATATATGTAAGAGCGATGGTATATTGAAAATGTGGGATCTGAGCATGACGTGAATGGTATGGAATAAGGGGTGGATAATGTCCTGGGTTTAGCAATAGCAGTCAATTTTTCTCCTTCTTGGTAGCTGGTGCAGTGCAGTGTTTTGACTTTCAGACTGGGAACAGTGCTGGTGATACCGATGTTTTCAGTTGTTGCTAAGTGATGTTTACCCTGACCAAGGACTTTCTGAGGCTCATGCTCTGCCAGGGAAGAGGGGAAGCCAGGAGGAAACAGAGACAGGACACCTGACCCAAACTAGCCAGAGATATTCCATACCACAGCACGTCATGCCGAGGGGGGGAACTGGGAGTTACCTGGAAGGACACGGGGTCTTCTGGGTCAGACTCGTTTTTCGGCCGGTGGTATCATATTCTCTTCCCTTGTTATTTTCTCTTATTGTTATTGTCGGTGGTGGTAGCGGTGGTGACTTGTGTTGTACATTGGTTGCTGGACTGTTCTTGTCTCAACCCGTGGGAGTTACATTCTTTCGATTCTCCTCCCCATCCCTCTGGGAGCGGGGGGGGGAAGGAAAGAAAGAGGGAGGAAAAGGGCGGGGGAAGGGAGTGAACGAGCTGGCTGGCTGGGTTTAAAACACGACACATGGTTACAAGGATAATTTTTTTAATGTTTAGCAAATGAGATTTTTTTTTCTGCTTTTTCCTCTTTAGTGAAAAGTTTGTTTAATTACTGAAATACCAGATAATGGGAAGCAATAGGATGAATTAAGTATCACCTTGTGATAGAAGGAACATGACTCAAATGAAAATCATGATGTACAAAAATAAAAGGCAACCAAACAAAAAACACACAAAAACAAATTGTCACTTGGACATTGGAAAATTTATCTTTACTGATCTGACAGTGCCACAGTGTTTCCAGTTAAGAAATAGCTGCATGGAAGCTAATGGAGCTTCTTTTCTCCTCTAGCTTGTTGCAAGGCATAAGAAGTGATGAAGCATGCTAACAATAGCAGAATTTGACATATATGTTCATATTTAACAGGGACTGTTTGATTAACAGTTCTTTCATAAACCTTTTACAATCACTTCATTCAAATGTCTTCTAATAACCGATAGAAAAACAGAGATTAATTCTTCAGGTTCATTTTATCAGCAATGATGAATACAAATCTCTTACGAAAATATTCTTAACATTTCAATATATAAGAATTGTCTATAAAAATATACTACTACATAACAAAGCCAGTAACTTCTACAAAACATGCTGTCCAACATATATTTAGCAATATATAGGACATAGTAAAAGTCATTTAATTACTTTAGGGTATTTTTACACCCTTTTTGTCAAACAATAACTCACAATATAGGAAACTATGCATTCTGATATACAGAAGTGTTATCATCATAGAAGTCTATGTATGTTCCACCTGAAGTTACCTGCGTCTGCAGGAACATAAAGCCACAACGTTTCTTTGGATGGACAGGCAGTTATGACCACAAAAACATTCTGCTGCTAGCTGCAATGTCCTGCTGATGTCAGTGTTGCACATCTGTTGTCAACACTGCCAATCCTGAATTCATGCACGGACAGAGGTTGTGGTTCTACTACCCTTGTGGGACTGATGTCACAGATGAGCCTGCTACTATGGTTAGAGAACTGGAAAACAGGCTCTTCCTGGTTAAATACCGCTAGTTAGCAAGGAAGTGATTTTTCTAAGAGGCTGCCTCTCCAGAAATAAACTTTCTTCTCACAGACAGCTCTTGAACAAAAGCTCAAGGAAGAGAAAAAACTGGAAGTGTTCATACTAAACGATGATCAAGGGTCAATCTTGTCACTGCCAATTACAGGAACTGACATCGTACAACAGTTTTTGGAGTTGGGAGAGACCCTAGTTTCAGGCTTCAGAAGAAAAGTGACACACTGAACTAGTTACTTCACCAGCACTGTTATGCTGAGGTTACTTCATGCCTGGTGTTAGACAAACACAGGAAATCCATTTTAATTAGGCAGAGTGCTCTTGTCTACACAATGAGCTTGTCAAATTCTTAGTGTAGATGTATTTAGAGAGCTTTTGGAGCATACTTTGACAACCAGCTTAACCTGAAGAAATTGGCTGCTGCACAGTGACAGTACATAGCTTTTTCACCATTAGCTTTCTATAGAAGAGTTGGGTATGTAAGGCTTTAAGGCTTCAAAGTCCCACTGAGGACACCAGATGAACAGTGTTTTGCATAGTAAAGAACGTAAGAAATATGCTTGCTGTTACTAATACATCACTAACTCTTTTTACCCTATGTTTACGCGTAAAACAACCAATAATTAATCATTACTCTTTCTATTCAGGGTGCACTGAAATCAGCACATCAAATTAACACATTGAAACTCAAGAGGAACAACTTTATAGCATAGCAGTTGCAATGCAACAATATTCTATCATATTACTAAGGAAGGACTTCCTATTAGAAAAGTACATTTACAGAACTTAAAAATACTGTAAAGATCACAACAGGATACTACAGGCGACAAACATTAATAATATGTTTCTGATGGAAAGCTAAGAAAAGTAACATTTGACCCTGAGAAACTTGCTGTACTGAAACTTAAAGCTAAAAAAAAAAGAAATCAGAAGTAGAAATTGTCAAGAAAAAAGACACACCAGAATATGAAAGACTCCAGGCTCAACCAGTTTCATTTCAGATTCTCTTAAAAACCCACATTTTAGGGTATCCATAATTTTGTATCATTTCATTCTCCTTCATGGCTTCCAACTAAAATTTTAGTTTTCAGTCTACATTTGAGGGTAAGAAAAAAATTAAAAATTGAGGTGGTTGAGAAAATATAAGCTTAAATGTCTTCCATTCCCAACATCACCTAGAAAAGCTAGTTACAGAAGCTAGCTTGTCACACGTTATCACTAGAGAAGCCCTAGTCAAGTCCTTCATTCTCATACAAGTTGAGTAATTCTATAAAACATTGATGAAAATCAAAATAATTAAAAAAAAGAAAAAATAGTGCTCTCCAACACAGGATCTTGTGTAGACTGTTACTCAAATTACTTAAATATTTAGGAAGGTTTAGGAACAGCAACAGCAAACAAGTAAGTGGAGCCATAAAGAAACACTATAGGTTTGGATAAAGTAAAAAATAATAATTGGGGGCGAGGGGGCACTACAGATATGGAAATATAATGAAAGTTTCTGCAAGAACTGGAGAGAAAAATTACCAATCACTGTATCAGGTTGGTGGTTTCAGGTAGCCTTATTTTCTACACTTACGTTACAGGCAAGAAAACGGTCCTTTCTTCAGTTGCCTGTTCTTCTCCACTAACTGTAAACAAGTTTCAGTGAAATCATATGACCTAAACATTTTTTCGATGTAAGCTTCCACATTATTTTTATTCTGTACTGACAAAGCAGCATTCATAAGCTGTAATTTAAACTACTATCTAATTGCCCTTCCTAATGTTTTCACACTGTCATCAAGTTCAGGCTACTCTGGTTTTGCCTTCTCCAAGTACCTTACTAAGAAGTTACACAGCTGGATCAGCTCCCAGGGCTAGCTCACCACATAACCACATAAGCATGAGCATTGAGCCAATGGGAGGGAGCAGGACCAGCTGACAAACCAAGTTTACATCAGTCTGAACTGCTTTGGAACCACACCTTTGTTAAGTGTCAATTCAAACACATGCTATTAAACGTGAAGTGAAGCAGTAAAAAATGCGGTCTATTTTCCTTCCCACCCTGAAAGCAGTTGTTCAATGACAGTGATGGCTGAGCAGCAGGAGAAACAATTCCAGTTTATAATTTCAAGTATTAAGTAGTAATTCCAAACTGGAATTTTATTATTACATCAGGCCTTAAAGAGATGTGAAAGCAGTTTCATACTACTCCTGACCTTGCCAGCAGTAGCTGAACTTCAGCCTTCATGAGAAGCAAGGCATGCATGCTATAAGCATGATCTGATTCTATCACTCAAGTGAAATCTGCTTGTGTCCATAAACATATATGGATTCAGGGTGTTGGTTACATACAGACATTTACATACAGAATCTTGCACAAAGACAGCTTCTCACTTCCAGGCACATCCCAAAGTACTATGCACATTCCAGTCTTTCAGGACTTAAGTTGCAGGATCTGCCCTGCTAGGAAGCAATGCTTATTGGCAAAAGAAAAGATATGTGACATCAGTAAATCAAAACAAGAAAACATCCACCAGCATTCTCTTTTATAAAAACACTAGAATGAGTAAATAACTGAAAACCACCTCATGATACACAGGACCAAATAAAGATCCAAGTTAAAATTTTCTCTGTGCACTACTGAGATAGGACCTCAAAGTACTTAAGACTCCATTTGGGAAAATCCCCTTATCTGATACTAAACATACATTCCTCCTCAAACATTAAGGATGCTAACATAAATAACACAAGCCTTTTTTCTTAGCATTTGTAGCTATCAAGATAAAGCCCATAAAAGTGAGAAGATGTGTAAGAGGAGCAACTAAATGCAAATTTAAAAAGATAGGCTGGAAAAATGGGGCTGAAGCTGCCCACTAGCACTGCCTGATGTGGTGTGGATGCCTCCAAGCCACTCTCCCATCAAACTCTCCCCAAACCTGTTCTGTAGAATCTCTGTTATTACCTTGGTCAACCTACCTTTTCTGTGAAACTGCAATTACTTTGTGCTCTTGTAAATTCTTAGGAAAAAGGCAAAAGCTTTGTTGTAAATACTCCTAACTTTATGAAGGCCAAAACTTAAACTTGGTCTCATAAAGAACTTTTGTACAGAAGAATCTAAACAAAAGGGTCACAAGCAGCATTTAAAATAACCTGTATTAAATACCTAAAAAATGTAATCTTTTGCATAGAATAAAGAAAGTGCAGCTACAGCATAACATTCCATACCACAAGAAATGGTGAATTTACGAGTGGTACACAATTAACTGTTGTCTCTCATCATTGAGACTGCAGCAACTAAAGAGTCATGTTAAAAAAAAGGGATTAAGTTATTTCATTATGTCTGTAAAGCAAGTGCAAATATTTAAAATTCATTTTAGAAGAAAGTAAAGCTGAAGATAATTTTCACAAGTTGATTTTCTCTTTATATAATTTGGAAAGATGAAATAGCTTTTGTTCTTCCAGAATCCAAATTAAAAAGAAATCCCCATTTGGCATCTGTTTTGTGGAAAAAAAAAATAAAAATAGAAAGCTTATAAATGTGCAAGCTTTATCTGTTCTAGAAAAGTTGGATGTTTATAGGATTATAACTCTTTTTTCACTTCTAAATTTTGTACTACAATCCCTCTGCTAATCAAGCACAGAATAGTATTAAATAAGCCTGGGAGACTGATTTCCACTGCTCAGAAGAACAGAGAAAGGGTCTAAGAAGTGGAGAATCAGGAATTTTAGGGAAAGAAAAGCCAAAAACTTATTGCCCAGTTTTGATAGGAGGCAAGCAACTTTCAAATTTTTTTCTACTCCTCGTATTTGCATGCCTAAGTATGAGAAAGAAAAGTATATACCTAATCAGTTGTTCACACATATTCAATTTTGTTAAAAAAAAAATAAAAATAATAAAAAATATATATTCAACTTATTGCCCATAATTTGGTACTAAAATTTGGTAAAAGAGATATTTAAAATAAATAAAAACAAATATTGTATATATATATTTGAAGATTGTTTGTTTCTGTAATGAATTAGTGTCTGCTACTGTCAGATTTCATTTTCTTTAGCTTTCTTCAAGGTTTGTCGCCACTTACGAATCGCGGCTCCAGAACTACTTGCCACTACACAAAGAGCACCACCTACAGTCCACCAAGTTGGCCGATGATTGAGAAAAAGAATTTGCAAAATAAAAGCAAACACCACATCCATTGTTTTCATTATGGCTACAGGTCCAGCTTTCTCTATCTGTAATGCTTTTGTGAGAAATATCTGACCCCCTAACCCTAACAAGCCTATTAATATTAGAAGAACCCTATCTTTACCACAGTGTGGTAAACGCCATTCATTCATAACAAACAATGCTACAACACATCCAATTAAACCAATGACCGCATAATACCAAATTGACAAAAAATAATGCACAGATTTTCCCACCTTCCTTAGTATAACGAAAGTCGAAGCCGAAGACACTGTGCTTGTAATTGCTGCTATAGTTCCTTTAAGGTGCTCTGTATAACTTCCTTCAATCCCTGTAACATTTGACCCAAACAGAAATGGTGGTCTGGCAATAAGAATCACTCCAGTGATGGCAAAGAGGGTAAACAGAAGATCCCAAATACTGTACTTCTCTTTGAGAAAGATCCATGCCAGCAATGATGTAAAAACAGGACTGCTAAAAGTTATAACCGTGGCATCAGCTAGTGGCATGACTTGGTAAGCATAGTAGAGAAGAATCATTGCACTAGAGCCAAGGAATCCTCGGAAGCAAAGAAAAATTCTTTTACCTTTTGGTCCCAAAAACCCTGTTCTGAAAAACAGAAACATCACATTAATATTGCTGGCTTGCTTATTTCATGACCAACATTCAATCACATTTAAACATACACACCCTTCTAGACTTTACACACCTTTCTAAATGAAGGCCTTATCTCAAATATCAAAATATTTTTAACTCTCCGACCACAGACCAATTTATTCCCATCACCACTCCCAATCACATTCAGAGTCAAAAACCTGTTCTTCTACCTATTAATTTTTCTGCTTGCAAAATAACCCAAGCGTATCTACAATTTACCTTCTATTTTTTAAGAACACCATTTCATGGAAGATCAACACACTTGATACAATCCCTGCAGAAACTTCTACAATTCAGGGAGTCAAAGATTTTCAGTTTGTGAATAGTATTCAGAAACTATTAACTAATTAAAAAAAATGCAGTTATGCAACTGAAGTCTGAATTACAATAATCTTGCTATCTGATTTAAGCGAGTGATAATTCTACACCTATTATTAAGAAATAATTTTAACTACTTACTTGTAGTATATTAAACCAGGAAGAACAAATGCCATTTGGAAAATACATCGAAACGCACTCACTTCCACTGAATGTACATCTTCTATTTTTTTAAGAAATAAAGAGGCCACTGAGAAAAGGAAGGCAGACAGTACAGTATAAAACAGACCAAGTCCTGGACACGCAGCTTTCTTCTTTGCTCCTGCAACAGATAAACTCAAGTTAGTAACGACCCACCGGAAGATTTCTCAAGTTAATCAGCTCTACATACTGCAGTGCTTTATACATTTGTAGCTATTCTTGGGGAAGCAAGAGAAACAAATGCAAATACTACATGTATTTATGTAGTATTTATTCACTGACCATCACAGGTCTCCAACTTTTTAATTAAAATAGGAAGTAAGAGATTAACTCTTAACACTTTGGACACAAAACTTCTCACATTTCAACAAGTCAGTGGGCTTTACAACTTGGATACATCAGCCTAGTTTGGGTGATTCACTGTAGAAGTAGTACGATTGACCACCGCAAGGACCAACAAATACAACAGACTACGAAATGGTCCATGGTCAGATTCTGAAACACTGAAACTTATTAACTTGCGAACCATCTGATTATCAATTAAGTTACTCAGGTTTCATAAGCAACTACCTAATTTCCTTTCTCACAAATACACACATAAAACTTGTGTACAGAACCTCACTTCTGTTGTATTTCATATTTATTTTGCAGCTAAATCGCCCTTTGACCTAGACCTACAAAAGTTTTACATAACGTTTTTATTTTGCTGTAAAAATCCAAGTATTTGCTTCAAATAAGTATCATTATTATATCACCATTAAGTATACAGTTTTAAGCAGAAAAAAAATTAAGTGACTTTAATTTTAAAACATCATAGGCCTGCTTAAAGTACTGATACAAACTTCCATGAAGACCTTAGTTATCACCTTAGTTTACACTTATTTAGCAGACTTCCTGAAGTAGTTTCCCAAATCTAATAGCCTCTATTCAAGCTTCCCCACTGCCTCGGGCTCTCTTCAGGGACATACTCTTCCTTGTTCCACTCATCTTCTCCACCCTCAACTATTCAAACAATAATTTAAAAAACAAAAGAAAAAGGGCTGCTAACGGAGAGGATGAACTGCTGCTGACCTCAGCAGGGTCCCCAAAGAAACCAGCTTATTTTGCCATTGCTTTGCTGCATAGGAACAGTCTTTCCACTGAACCTAAAGGTGAACAGTGAGGAAGAGATCCCATCTAAAAATCTGAGTGGGATGTTACCTCACTCCTGTCTGCACAAAACATTGGGAGTTACCTTTTCTTCTACAACACCCTCTAAAGCTAAGAGCAAGAACTCCATGTCCCTGAGGCAGTGTTTTGACAAAAGGGTACGTCATCTCACATAGGTGTGGAAGCCTGTGGGCCTTATGGATCCTCTAAAAACCAAATCAGGAGGACACTGCTGTGAGTTGCTTAGCAACTAAATATGGGTTTGAAGGGCTTTTTGTTTCGTTTGGGGTGTGGGTTTTTTTTTTAAACTAACAAAACTTGTCACAAACCATTTTGATCCTCCTTGAGATCAGCACTCAAGGATGAGAAACTGCACTTAATACACAATACCTAAGACTGGACCAATACAGTGTGTATAGCATTGGTTCTGGCTTCAACAGTTCTAGAGACCCAGGTTTAACAACCACAACCAAAATTTGAAGCACACAGAAGGCCTGCTTTTCAAGGAATCCAGCCACACTGCAACTGAAAATGAATGACAGTTTCTACTAGAAATACTTCTATTACAGCCTCTTACATAAAAGTGACTATAAAAGCTATCACCAACCAACACTGGACCAGGACATCTACCAGCTATGAAACAGAGCACGTTTAAAAAATGTTCATGAACTACATAATGTCCTAACCTACACAGTCACACAACAGAACTACAAAATCAACAATGTCTCTAATATTAAAGCATGAGGAATCAGACTGGTCTATAACTGAAATGGGAAATCCAAACCCAGGCTGGCTTACAGATGAACACAGCACAAACAGAACTATTAACTTTTATTTCAGGCATGATAACTTGTGCGATTACTACAGAACGAAGCCAATCTAAATAACAGGAGTGCTGAAATGGAAAACCAATCAAATTAAAGTAAGCTGAAAAGATCTTATACCTAGAATTAAGGGTGGGATTTAAAGAAACAAAGAAAAAACAGAAGGAACTCATTTTTGTAAGCTAGCCAATAAACCAAACCTATCAGAAACATTATCTTGTAATTCTAAAATTTAAACCATCAATATCTCATATTGCCAAAGCATGTACTCGGTCCAATGAGAAAGTGTTTTATTTCCTTTTAAAAATACAGTGGTGCAAGGTCTTCTACCAAAAACAAGAACTGCAGTTCTGAAGAGTACTCATTTCAAGATACATTGTGAAGAGGTTAAGATAACATTCCCACCCCACAAAATATTAAGCCTCCAAGCAAAAGCCCCATGCCATCAAAATACGGAAGCACTCATGCTTTTCTAAAAAAGTGTAGCAGTCTGAAAATGACAAAGTTTGAAGTAGCACCAAACTCTCTTTTCTGAGTGGCTGCAGGTTTGAGGTTTTTCACTTTTATTCCCTGACCATCTCCAAATGTAAGGCTTTCCAAGAATCTTTCACTCCTGTTTTAAGTACTAGTCAAATGCCTCCCACTGCGCACCATTTTCTGTGCAAATTCTTGTTGCCTGTATTTTAATGCCATGCTTTCTTGAAAACAGCTTTTAAACTTGCAAAATGCAGAGAAGAAAATCACACTTCTCACATACATGCGTCTTGAGTATAGTAGCAGAGGCAGAAGAGTACTGGCTGTGGGGAAGGTGGTCAGCGAGAAGATGATTCTCTCAGACCTTCTGTAAAGCCAGAGGGTTGTCCATTCTTCACACTGTAAGAAGCAGGTGAACGGCTCTCCCACAGACTTCGGGAAAGTGCCACGAGCACAACAGCCTGTGCAAGAGCTCACCATGGTCATGCAGACAAGATTTAGGAGTGATTCATAAAGTTCAGCCATTGACTCAGTTAACAATTTTGCTAGACAGACTAAAAAAAAAGTAAGTTTGATGAATAAATACAAGTTTCTCAGGATTACAAACGTGGGTTTTTTTCTCTCAAGATTTGTCCCAGAACTGACGTGAATTTCACTGGTGAAGCATGTTATCTCTTCTGGCCTCTCCGCAGCTCACCAGCTAACAAAGACTGCTATTTAATCCATTTTCTGCTGGAAAGTCAATTATAGTCCATATTTAATGAGAAACACATTTTTAGTGAAGTTGTTTAAAAATCACACATGCCAAACTACTTCAGATACCAACTGCAAACACTATTTTAAGATGGCATTTGGGTTTTAGGAGGAAGCTACGTTAAAGTAGCAAAACCCGTGTATTTCGCTGTAAGTTTCTAGCTTTAGCAATTCAAAATGACCAAGAAGTGAAGCACAGATTAAGACAAAATAAAGAGGAACCTCACACTAAAGCAAGGTACGAATTACCAAGGAAGTCACAGTCGCAAGTACATGGACTTGTTGAACAGCACTCATGCCCCTTCTCAAAGTTCACGCTGATAGAACGCACCTTGATTTACTCATACCTTACTTTGAAACTTTGGCAACAAGAAGGTCTGTCGTCCCGAAGGGATAATCGCTACCAAAGCGAAGAGCAGCAGCTCGCCCGTGAGGACTGGGAGTCAGGGAGGCGCGGCCGGAGTGGCCCCGAGCGCTCGTCCCGCTCTCGGAGGGGCACCGGGTCCTGCCCCTAGCCAACCCCGGAGTGCAAGCACAGGGGCTTAGCACCACGGAGGAGCTCGTGCCTGCCGCTAGGACGAGGAGGAGGGAGAGAGGCCGCACACGCTCGCAGGGGCCCGGTGTCCCCCGCCGGGCACCAGGTGTGGGCCACCACAGCCAAGTAGCCTCGGCTGCCGCCGGCCTGTCCCCGCCCGAGGGCCGCCGGCGGAGCAGCGGGCTCAGGTGCCGGACGCCCTCTGCGGCAGCCCCAGATCGCTCTGCGCCCTGCTGCCGCGCGCTGTGAGCCCCTGTGCCCTCGGGGCCGCTTCCTCTTCCTCGGCTCCTCTGGCAATGTCACCCCGAGAGCCGGCAGCGATGCCAGGAGGGCGCTGCCCTCCCCCCCGCGCTGCCTGTCAGACTCCCCCTCCTCACCAGGTGCCTTGCAGCAGCACAGCCAGGACAAACCCGAGCAGCAGCCACAGCCGCGGCGCTCTTCAGCGCCCGCTGCCTCCACGCCGGGCGCCGGGCAGAGGCAAGGCTGCCCCTTACCCGCATCGTCCTCCCGGCTCAGCGGCACCTCCGGCTCCTTCCCGCCCGCTGCCGGAACAGCAGCGGCCTCGCCGCTCTGACACAGCACCATAAGGACGTCGGGCTACCCGCGGTGCTACCGGCACAGCACAAGCCGGCAGGCACCTGGCCTCCTGCGCATGTGGGGCCACCGCCCATCGCCACCCGGCTCCCTCCCTCCCTGCGCTCGCCCCGCGGGTGTACGGCGCTTCGGGGCGGCGGGGTGGGTATGCCAGGTCGGGGCTTAACCACCCCACAAGGCAGGGCCCCGCCTGGAGAGAGCCAGGCTGCCGCCCGTTCTGCCACGGCAGAGACCTGCCTGGGGGCCCGGAGAGAGCCAAACGCCCTTCCCGGGACAGGAGGCAATGCTCTGCCCTGCTGTCCCCTCAGCCCACGGTGGCCCACTGGGAGAAGTACGGGAGCTGTGTCCGGGCAAGGGGCCTGGGCGGGGAGGAGCGAGGCCGCGGTGCTTCGGGAGGGGGAGCTCTCACCCTGCCGGAGAGCGGAGCGGCGCGGCGCCGGCCCCGCCGGGTGACCGTTAGGCGCGGCCAAAGCCGCGGGGCGTGGGCGCTGGGTGGCGCAGGCCGCGGGCTCTGCCGATGCCGCGCTCCGAGGTGGTGAGCTTGCGGGGAAGTGAAGCTGTGGTAAACGGTGACGCAGTGTTACTTCAGGGGCGCTGTTGCGTCATCTGAGCGCCCCAAATCAAGTGTGTAACTGTTGAGCACGCGGGACTGACACCTCAAATACCGGCTCGTCAGCCCGAGTGCAGGCAGGGTCTGCGCGGGGACAGCCGCCTTCTATTACAGCTGTTCCACATTGCGTGTGTCAGCGTGAAATCCCCCCGGGGAATCTCCGCACCGATTTAAGTAGCTTTCAGCGGGCCGTTAACGTGTAGTTGCCGTGCAATTACACGATTACCTGAGCATCACCCGTAGCATCACTGGAAGAGCTGCTGCCTGCACCCGCTGCCCTCACAGAGGTTAGAATGGAGATGCGAACCCGGTGGGTGATTTTGTCATTCTGTGTGCGTAGGAAAACCCTCACAGGGTTGTTGGTAGAGTACAAAAATCATCTAACCACCTTCTGGTAGGTTTTCTCTAAAAAACCGATGCCGCCTCTGTCTTTGGGCAGGGGAATCAGAGAGGGGAGCTGGTTCAAGTATACAGGCTGGCCTCTTACCCATCAAAGACTGCAGAGAAAAAGCAGCAGAATAATTTTCAAAAGCTAAAATTTTCCCCTTTTTAGCAAGTTGAGCTGTTATCAATAATTAAAACGGAGGAATTTCTATTCAAAGAATAGATTTATGCTCACGCTAATATTTCAGCTGCATAAATTAATCAGTGTTTATTTCTTTATTCTTAACAAGGGGAAATGTAATCTGTAGCTTTAGAAAAATGAGTAATAAATGGTAAATACAAGCCATTTCACACAAACTATTTCAAACTTCCCCTCAGACTACCTCATAAGAGCAATTTCAGGCTTTCTTTGTCTCTGATTTAGCACATTTTATAGTCCATGCTATCCACCAGAGGCCATAAATATTACATTATCACAGAGCTAGCATTTGATTAATGTGACCAGAATTATTTCTCAAATTATTCTTAACTAAGAATTAGATGTGTTATATCAATTATTAAAAAAAGAGAAAATAAGAAGTTTGTGTTGAAATCAGGATTAGTTCTTTCTACAGATTTACATTATCCAAACTCCTCTTTCTAGAAACCAACAAAGTATCTGCTGCACTAGACATAAACTCCTTTTATTAAAGCTTCTGTCAGCATAGTCCTCTACAAAGGCCATGTTCAAAGCTCGTCTTTCCTTATGGAGATGACATGGCAGCTTCATGTCCCACAAAGGGGAGAATCAGGCCAGCAACATTTCCCAAAGAGACACCCTTATTACTTCTGCCAGATGCACTTCCCTATCCCTCAGAGTTTGGTTTAATTTGGAGAGGGAGGTGCAAGTGAACCTGGCAGCATGCTGCTTTCCCAAGAAACTTACACTTTTCTGTACACTGGGGCAGTGCTTACAGGTCACTGTTCCATGAGTAACACAAAGGCAGAGCTGCCCTTCCTCACAGGAGTTTTGGTGAAAGACTGGTGGAGATCCTGCTTCTCACCAGCCATCTGGGGTGTCAATCCCATGGGTCTCTAGGGGAAAGACCCAGCATGTCCCTCGGCCAACAACCAAGAAGCAGGCTTGCGGAGTGCATGCACCCACAAAAAGGCCTTTCCTCGTGGTCACTACATGAGTTACCTCTGTAGCCAGTAGCAGCAGAGCGGCTGGCTTACTTGAGCCTTTGGTGAAGAAAAACAGAGCCAAAACATTTAATCCGTAGTACAGACGCAGAACAAAATTTAGTGAGTTCTTACGATTTCTGGCTATTTGTTTATATACTGTGTTAAAATGTGCAGATTATGTGCTTTATAATATTGTCACTATGAAACCCAAAGTAAACTTTTTAAGTGACACAGTGCCAAATACTGTGGTGGAGTTTCAAAGAGACTCTGCAACAGCTTCTTCCATCCCCCCTCCATGTCTGGCTTTGAAAGGGCAGTGTTTGTTTATGCCAAGATTCATAAAGTGTTCTGTTTGCTCCTGGTCAAACTGCCAGGCTTGCCTCAACTTGAAAGCTTCCAAGTTCTGCTTGCAAAGTACAACACTCCTCTGAGTAAGGAGGCAGAGCAACTGCAGCTGCCCAAACCAACCAGTAGGCAAAAGTAATGCTGCCCTAGACTGGAAAATTAAGTAGCTTGCATAAATGTGACAGGCCAATGTTTTATGCTGTCCTTTCAAGTACAGATTAAGCCTCATCTGTACAACACAGTGCTCAGAACTAGCTGTTCCTTTCTCCAGCACACTGCCAAAGGCAGAGCAATAAGGACCTGCAGTATCTTCCCTGATTGCAAAGTCCGTGAGAAAAAGGTTTAGTCAACTTGGGCAAACTGACCATTGAAAGGAGTTAGCTGAATGTCCACACACAAAGAGACTACTCTTTGAGTGTGGTCAATAGCTGGATGTTCGAGTGGAGATCAGTAATGAGCTGTGTTCTTCAGGGGTCGGTACTGAGACCAGCCCTGTCCCTGACATCTTTGTCAGCAACATGGACAATGGGATCAAGTGTACCCTCAGCAAGTTTGTTGACAATACCTTTCCTATGGAGGCTGAGAGAGTTGGGCATGTTCAGCCTGAAAAAGAGAAGGCTCCGGGGATAACTTTAAGCAGCTTCCAGTGACTAAAGAGGACCTACAAAAAAGCTGGAAGGAGATGTACAAGGGCATATAGTGATAGGACAAGGGGGGATGACTTTAAACTGAAAGAAGGGAGATTTAGATTAGATATTAGGAAAAAATTCTTCACTATGAGGATGATGAGACACTGGCACAGGTTGCCAAGAGAAGTTGTGGCTGCTCCATCCCCAGAAGTGTTCAAGGCCAGGTTGGATGGGGCTTTGAGCAATCTGGTCTAGTGGAAGGTGTCCCTGTCCATGGCAGGGATTTTGGAACTACATGAGCTTTAAGGTCCCTCCTAACCCAAACCATTCTATGATTCTAGAATGGCATTTGTCTGGTTTCCATAATATTGTAAGAGCAGAGAGGGAGCCACCTTCTCCTGTGTACTTACTGTTCTACATAGAGTTTTCTTGTGTTACTCTTTTCAAAGGAGGAATATTCTCATCCTCATCCAGAATTTAGGCAGACAGTTTTATCATTATAAATGCCAGGAACAAGAAAGTGCTTTGGTGCAGGTTGATATATAGACCTGACAGGTACTTAGGAAAGTACTGTAATGAGTCATTGGTCTGGATCTGTGTGCCTGGTGAGGGATCCTTTGGTTTCTGTCTCCCTGCCTGCAAGTGCTGTCTCTGACTCGTCAGTGTGACTTTTCAGAAACAAGATTAACTGGCACAAATGACAAAGAAATTATGTGAGTTTTGTGGAGAACCGTGGGAGTTTTCTATGAGATTATAAAACCTTTATCCACTATCACATAATTCCTTTAATCCACTGCTTAAGTATCCTAATAAGCTTTTTGAAACACTGCTGCCTCTTGGAGGTTTAGTGAGAACCAAATAATATAAACTCAGGGATCCCTGGGACTGAGCAAGCCCTTTCTCACCTCACCTAAGGGCAGCACTAAGGACTCTGCAGAGCACTAGTGGTAAAAGCCAACAGGCTGGATTCCTGAGTTCTGCATGTGGAACACTCTGATGACATTTAGCCCAGTTTGATCTTAACACAGCTGTGCCACCAGTTATGTATTGCTTAAGCTATAAAAATAATAGATTTAAATCAAGCCATCAATCTGTATTGGTGAGTTTCATTCTGTAAAAATGCTAATTTTTTTTAAGACCTTAACTTGGGATTCAAGTTGTCTAGCAGTAAATTCATTAAACCTAATATAGGCTAGTGCAAACGAAGTAACATAATAAACTTGAATTCATTCCTTTCATTCTGAAAAGGTTAAATGAAAAAAAAAGATAAGAAATACTTTGTCAGCTTCTGAAATGGATCCAGTTCTTAAGTGCATTGTAATAACCATTTACCTCTGCACCTGAATGCCATAAACCAGTTGATTATTGCAGCACCAAGGAGTTTCATTGTCCCAGTCATTCATTCAAACTTCTGGTCAACCCAGAGTTGTTTGAAAATCGCAGAATAGCTGAGGTTGATTAACACATCTGGTGTCTTGAAAGGTTGCCTAGTCCAAATTCCCCTGCTCAGAGCAGGGTCAGCTGGAGTTCAGGACTGTGTCTCTTGGGTTTTTAGATATCTCCAAGGACTGAGACTACACCACATCCTTGGGCAATGTGCTCCAGTGTTCAATCCCCCTCACTCTTAAAAATAAATAAAAGTTTAAAATGAGTGAGCCCTTGTAGTCTCGCAGCCCTATGAAGATGTGGTCCATATGAGCTGCTACCATTCCATCAGAATTCCAGTGCATGCCTTAGTGGTTTTTATGTCCATCTCATGTGCTAGAAGAGACCCATATATATCAGTTTCTGTGTTAAAGTGAACAGTGCATGATACTCAGTTTTGCCATCACCACTAATTGCTTCCACATGTATATATACAACTGTTGTACAAACATTTAATCTTGTATCAACAAACATATTTAGATGATCACAGTTTTCTTCCTCATGAGTTGGTGGTGGTACTGAATAGTATTATAGTAATAGGAGATAGGCATGAACATTGTAACAAGAGAGAATCCTGCA